ATTTGACCGAATTCCTGCAACTTATTTTTCAAAATTAGGTACACATATGAAAAAATAATTTCCTGTATTGGGACTGCGTGACGAAATTATTTTCTAGAGCAGAATTCCTGCTATTCTATAAAAACATTTTTCTAAACATCGAATTTTCGAATTTTTTCAACTGAACATAATGGTCCTAAAACTAAATAAAACAAATGTAATAATTAAAATTAGTCTTTCGAGGATATCCAGCAGGAATTCCGTTTCTACCAAATACCGTGTTCTTGTTTTAATCTTTTCTAACTCAACTCTTTAATTTGCGATCTGCTGCCACATTAAAGGGAATTACTGCTACTTATTTTTTGAAAATCTCTACATATTGGAAAAAATTAATTTCTGTGTTTGAGATCCGAGACGAAATTATTTTAATAGAGTAAAATTCCTGCTATTTTATAAAACTATTTGTTGAGCATTCAGTTACTTCGTGTTGCGTATAATAGTGCCTGCAGTAAAACTGAAAAATAATAATTTAAAATAGTTCTTCGAGAACATTCAGCAGGAATTTTCTTTGAAATAATTCTACTTTTCTTGATTTTATTTTAAACTTAGATCTTTAATCTACAATAATTGACCGAATTCCTGCAATTTCAAATTAGGTACACATAAAAAAATAATTTGCTGTATTGGGACTGCGTGGCGAAATTATTTTATAGAACAGAATTCCTGCTATTCTATAAAAACATTTTTCTAAAAATCGAATTTTCGAATTTTTTCAACTGAAAATAATGGTGCTAAAAAAATTCAGTTTCTACCAAATACCGTTTTCTTGTTTAAATAAAGCATGAAATGGAATTCCTGCAACTTATTTTTTTTAAATGGTTGAGACGAATTTATTTTATAAAGCAAAATTCCTGCTATTCTATAAAAATAAGTTTATAAACATCCAACTATGTACATATATGTAAGTATATATTGATGCCAATACTAAATAAAATACAAGTAATAATTAAAATTAATCCTGCGAGGATATCCAGCAGGAATTTTGTTTCAACCCAATACTGTTTTCTTGTTTTAATATCTTTAACTCGGTTCTTTGATTTGCAATAAATTTGTATGAAAAATCTTTGTGTGATTGAAGTCCGAGACGAAATAATTTTATACAGTTGAATTCCTGCTATCTTAAAAAAATATTTTCTTAAGAACCCAATTACTTCCTGGTGACTATTATGGTGCCACTACTAAATAAAAAAAAGAGAAATAAAAATTAAACTAGTCATACAGGAAGATCCGGCAGGAATTTTCTTGCAAACAAATAGAATTTTTTTGATTTTATCTTAAATTTAGATCTTTAATCCTCAATAAATGACCGAATTCCTGCAACTTATTTTTCGAAATTAGGTATGCGTACGAAAACATAGGTTTCTGTGTTTGGACCGTGTGACGAAATTATTTTATAGAGCAAAATTCCTGCTATTCTATAAAAATAAGTTTATAAACATCCAACTATGTACATATATGTAAGTATAAATTTATGCCAGTAAAAAATAAAATACAAGTAATAATTAAAATTAATCTTGCGAGGATATCCAGCAGGAATTTTTTTCTACCCAATACGGATTCCTTGTTTTAATCTTTTGAACTCGGTTCTTTGATTTGCAATAAACTTGAATGAAAAATCTTTCTGTGATTGAAGTCCGAGACGAAATAATTTTATACTGTTAAATTCCTCTAAATCTTATAAAAATATTTTCTTAAGAATCCAATTACTTCCTGGTGAGTATTATGGTGTCTTTAGTAAATAGAATAAAGCAAATAAAAAAAATTTTGAAATAAAAATTAAAATTAGCCCTACGGGAATATCCAGCAGGAATTTTCTTTAGAGCAAATATTTTTTTTTGGTTTTATTTTAAGCTTAGATTTTTAATCCTCAATAAATGACCGAATTCCTGAAACTTATTTTTCTCGAAATTAGGAGTGCGTACGGAGAAATAGATTTATGTGTTTGGACCGTGTGACGAAATTATTTTATAGAGCTAGATTCCTGCTATAAATAAGTTTATAAACATCCAATTATGTACAACTCTATATATTGATGTCGGTACTAAATAAAATACACGTAATAATTTAAATAAATTCTGCGAGGATATTCAGCAGGAATTTTGTTGTGTGACGAAATTATTTTATAGAGCAAAATTCCTGCTATTCTATAAAAGCATTTTTCTAAACATCGAATTACTTCCTGCTGAGTATAATGGTGCCAGTGGTGAGTAAAACAAAAATGCAAAATAATAATTTAAATTAGCCCTACGAGAATATCCAGCAGGAATTTTCTTCAAAACAAAAACCTACAGTTTTCTTGAAATCCGCAATTCCTGTAAACTAATTAGGTATGCTTACGAAAAAATAGGTTTCTGTGTTTGGAGCGAGTGACAAAAATATTTTATAAACCGAAATTCCTGCTATTTTGTAAACCAACATTCCTGCTATTTTACAAACCGAAATTCCTGCTATTTTGTAAACCAAAATTCCTGCTATTTTACAAACCGAAATTCCTGCTATTTTATAAACCAAAATTCCTGCTATTTTACAAACTGAAATTCCTGCTATTTTATAAACCAAAATTCCTGCTAGTCTATAAAAATATTTTTCTAAGCATTCAGTTTGTTCAGCTGAAATATAATGATGCGAGAACTCAATAAATTAAAAATAATAATTAAAATTAGCTCTGCAGGAATTCTGTTTCTAACGAAAACCGTTTTCTTGTTTTAATATTTTTAACTCAGCTCTTTAGCCTTTAATAATTTTGCTTTAAATGGTAAATCAAGTGCTACCAAAATAAGGAAATTCCTGCAACTTATTTTTTGAAGGACCTGTCATATTGGAAAAAATAATTTTCTGTTAAATCCGGGACGAAATTATTTTATGGAGCAAAATTCGTGCTATTTTATAAAAAATATTGTCATAAGCATCCAATTACTTCCTGCTGAATATAATGGTGTCACTAGTAAATGAAATAAAAATAAAAAATAATAATTAAAATTAGTCCTACAAGACCATCCAGCAGGAATTTTATTTAAAACAAATATCGTTTTCGCGACCCAATTTCTGCAACTTATTTTTCAAAATTAGGTATACATACGATAAAATAGCTTTCTGTGTTTGAACTGAGTTAGAAAATTTTTCTATGAAGCAAAATTCCTGCTATTTTATAAAAATATTTTTCTAAACATCCAATTTGTTCAGCTGGATACAATGGTGCGAGTACTAAATGAAATAAAAGTAAGAATTCAAATTAGCCCTCCGAGAATATCCAGCAGGAATCAGCAGGAATTTTAATTTTTCTTTAACTTAAATTTGAAGGGAAAAATTCTACCTTTGTTCTTTTTGCTTTACATGGTAAATCAAGTGGTACCACACAAAAGGGAATTCCTGCAACTTATTTTTGAATATTTTTACATATTGGAAAAAACAGTTTTCTGTGTTGACGTCCGAGACGAAATTATTTTATATCTACGGTTAAATTCCTGCTGTCTTATATAAATATTTTCCTAAGTATCCAATTACCTCCTGCTAGGAAAAATGGTGCTGCTAGTAAATAAATTAATAATTAAAATTATCCCAATGAGAACATCCAGCAGGAATTTTGTTGACATCCAGCAAGAATTTTGTTTCGAATATATAAATACAAATTTCTGTTTTAATATATTAACAACCAAATTTTGAGCATCAAAATTATTTTATAGAGCAAAATTTCTGCTATTCTATAAAAATGTTTTTCTGGAGAGTTGCAAGAAATAAATCAAATAAAAATAATAATTAAAGTTAGCCCTACGAGGATATCCAGCAGGAATTCTGTTTCTATCGAATACCGTATTCTTCTTGTTTTAATATTTCAACTCAATTTTTTACTGTGTAATAAATTGGCAGGGAAAACGTCAAAACTTTTTGATTTAAATTGTAAATCAAGTGCCACCATATAGAAGGGAATTCCTGCAATTTCTATTTTGAAGTCCCTACATATTAGAAAAAAATAATTTTCTGTGTTTGAAACGAAATTATTTTATATAGTAAAATTCCTGCTTTTATTTAAAAATTTTATGTAAGCATCATTATTATCCTGCTGAGGCTCTACGAAAACATCTAGCAGGATTTTTTTTTGTAATGACTGCAGTTTTCTTGTTTTTACTTTTTAACTTAGATCTTTAATTTGCAGTAAATTTTAAATTGCAAATCAGGGTCCACCATATATATATGCCCGAATTCCTGCTACTTTATTAAAATATTTTTTAAAACATTCAATTCCTGTGTCCTGCTGGGCAAAATGGTGCCAGCAGTAAATAAAATAATAATTAAAAATGTCCGACCAGGATATCCAGCTGGAATTTTGTTGACATTCAGCAGGAATTTTGTTTCAAATAAATACCACTAACAAAGTTTACATTTAAATGTGGAGGCCAGTAGTAGAAGTGTTAAAACATATAACAACCAAATTTTGAGCGTTAAAAGTGCACATTTGAGCAGGATTTCAACCTTCACAAAAACCAGGACCTTCATCTCACCCAGCACGAAAATCTCAAAAACCCCAACCCATCAAACATGATATCCTGCAGGACAACTAATCCCATGTACGTGTTTAGAAGGGCCTCTCGGTATGTACACGCGATCCCGCTCGCAAGTGTATCCTTTTAAGGTTGAAGCGAACTAATATTGCAGCAAGTTTGTAGCAATTCAGAACAAACTGGCACAAAGTTTTGCCAAGTTGCTATCTGGCGTACAAGTCTTGCGGTTTCTTAATGCTCCACACGACGGCTGCTGCCAGGAGCTCTATGATTTATACTGCACACACCCCATCCAGCCCTTTTTTCCCGCTTTTTACCGGATCTCCCAAACTTACTCCAGCGTAACCCGCCCTTATCGTTTTTTTTTTTTTTCTCAAATTCAGTACCTCGTTGTTCTTGTTTCCTCAGATCTCCGGAGCCCCCGACAACCTTAGAGCAGGACAGTACTCAGTTTTAATATAGTGCTTTCTCTTTTAGGGCAGCAGCAGCAATTTCATTTCGCTTTCGGCCAGCGGCCCTTTCCTTTCGCCGCATCGGACCCTTTGTCGGGCTTCAGGATGCCGCCAATCGGAAACTGCAACAGTAAGTCCGGTATTTATTAGTTTTTGCTCCTCCTTCAAAAACGGCAAAAACGCGATCCGGTCGAACCGAGTCCGGGATGCGGCTGAGCGCTAAATACTTTGCATTCAAATCATTTAGTTTGTTTGCATTTCTGTTTACAGCTGTAATGAATGAGTTTTTGTTTTCATTCGGAGTGCTTTTCCCGGTGGAATAATAAAAGGGGTGGCCGGAAATGAGATCGTAAGATTTAGTGGATTCTGTTTGGATGCGTCCGCCCCCGCGCCGCCGCCACACTCGCGGCGAATTATAATTAAAAACAATTAGGAAAAAAGCGGCGGCATGATTAAATTAGCGCCGGAGCCAGGCTGGAGAGTGACAGCGGGGTGGATTTTTTCAAGGATTGGGGCGGAAAATCCGGTCTGGGGAGATTTCAACACCTTTTTGGTTTGGTTGAGTTCCAGTCGAAATTTGAAGCTCAAAATTTTAACATTAGGTGAAAAAAATTTAGTTAAGGAGTCTGAAGGTGTGTCTGTGGTTTCAAAAAACATTCTACATTTGTTTCATAATAAGTGAGTCTTTTGCATTTTTTTTAAACTTAACAAAGTAGTTTTTACATAAACACAATTTTTTTTGTTTCGATTTGTAATTTTCCGTTTCGGTTTTTTATTTTCTTAATTTTTCATTTATTCGATTTTTCAATACTTTAATTTTATAATTTTTCATTTTTTCGTTCCTTCAAATTTTAGATTTTGCAATTTTTTGTTTCTTAATTTTTTTTTTATTTTCTTTTTTTTTTGTTTCTTTGATTTTACGACAGTTCCGGTTTTCATTTTAAAATTTTCCAGTTTTTCGCTTTTACAAATTTTGGATGTTTTTCCGTTGTTTTTAGCTTTTCGTTTCTTCTATTTTTCCATTTACGATTTTCCAATTTTTTATTTTTTGTTTCTTCAAAATTTAAATTTTGCCATTTTTCGATTTAAAATTCCTCGAGTTTTTAATTTTATATCAAACTGACATCCACACCACAGGAGAAACATACGTAAAATTTAACAAAATTTATTTCAAAAAATGAGGCTGAAGATGAAGACAGTTAGTCAACGAAACATGTCCCCATATCAAACAATCAGAATTACATCTGTGGAGTTTAGACTTACTTTTGTACAATTCCTAACTTTTTAATTTTTCAATTTTTCGGTTTTTAATTTTTCATTTCGTCAAATTTACGATTTGAAATTTTTTCTTACGGTTTTCTATTTTCTTTATTTCTATAATCTTTCGATTTTTCAATCTTATCATTTTTGTTTTTTACAATTTCAATATTTTAATTTTTTTTGGTTTCTTCCATTTTACAACAGTTAGTGTTTTCATTTATAAATTTTTCAGTTTTTCGATTTTACAAATTTTGGGTGCTTCACTTTTAGATTTTGTAATTTTTCAGGTTTTTGGGTTTTTCTATTTTTCATTTCTTCAATTTTTCGATTTGCAATTTTTCGTTTTCTTTACTTTTTCATTTATTCGATTTTTCAGTATTTCGATTTTATCTTTTTTTTTCAATTTTACTTCTCCAGTTTTTCCATCTGCGATTTTTAAATTTTTCATTGTCTTGTTTCTTCAAATTTTAAATTTGGCAACTTTTCGATTTAAAATTCCTCGAGTTTTCAATTTTTAATTTATCAATTTTTCGGTTTTTTAAATTTTTGATTTCGTCAAATTCTCCATTTGAAATTTTTCCTTTTGGTTTTTCCTCTATTTTTACAATTTTTCGATTTTTCAATGTTTTTAACATTTTTTGTTTTTTACAAATTCAATTTCTTCAATTTTTCGTTTCTTAAATTTTTTGATTTTATATTTTATTTTGGTTTCTTTCATTTTACGACAAATTGGGTTATTATTTTTAAAATTTTCAGTTTTTCGTTACACATTTTGGGTGTTTCACTTTTTAGAGTTTGAAATTTTTCAAGTTTTCGATAATTCAAATTTTCATTACTTCAATTTTTCGATTTGCAATTTTTCGTTTCAGTTTTTCATTTTTTCAATTTTTCATTTATTCGTTTCAATTTTATAATTTTTTGTTTTTTCAAGTTAATTTTTTCAGATTTTCGTTTCTTCACTTTTTCGTTTGCGATTTTTCAATTTTTTCATTTTTTTTTGTTTCTTCTAATTTTAGATTTTGCAATTTTTCGATTTAAAATTCCTCAAGTTTTCAGTTTTTAATTTTTCAAATATTCAATTCTTAAATTAATCATTTGTTCAAACTTTCGATTTGAAATTTCTTGTTTCGGTTTTTTATTTTCTTTATTTTTTCAATTTTTCCATTTTTCAATGTTCCGATTTTACCAATTTTAGATTATTACAATTTCAATTTATTCAATTTTTCGTTCCTCAATTTTTAGTTTTTTTTTGTTTCTTTAATTTTACGGTTTTTCGGGTTTTCATTATTGAATTTTTCAATTTTTTGATTTTACAAATATTGGCTGTTTTAATTTTTAGATTTTCAATTTCGCGAGTTTTCAGTCTCTAATTTTCCAAGTTTCCAATTTTTCGTTTCGGTTTTTCATTTTCTTTATTTTTTCAAAGTGAAATTTTTCAATTTTTGGAATTTTCAATTTTTTCAATTTTTCGTTTCTTCAATCATTCGATTTTTCATTTTTTTTGTTTTCTTCAATTTTGCGACAGTTCGAGTTTTCATTTTTGAATTTTGCAATTTTTTGATTTTCAATTTCGCGAGTTTTCAGTCTTTAATTTTTCAAGTTTGGAATTTTTCGTTTCGTTTTTTCAATGTGAAGTTTTTGAATTTTTGGGATTCTTCAATTTTTGCGGTTTGCAGTTTTTCGATTTTCAATTTTTAATTTTTCGTTCTTTCATCTTCCGATTTTTGATTTTTTGTTTCTTCAATTTATCGATTTTTTTGGTTTTCTTCAATTTTAGGACAGTTCGAGTTTTCATTTTTGAATTTTTGAATTTTTCAATTTTACAAATATTGAATGTTTCAATTTTTAGACTTTGCAAATTTTCAGTCTTTAATTTTACGAGTTTGCACTTTTTCGTTTCGGTTTTTCATTTCCGTTGTTTAAATTTTTCAACGTTTTGATTTAGATTTTTCAACATTTTGATTTTGATTTTTCTTTTTCCAATTTGAAAATTTAAAATTTTTCGATATGCAGTTTTTCAATTTCGCGAGTTTTCAGTCTATAATTTTAAAGGTTTGAAATTTTTTGTTTCGGTTTTTCATTTTCTTTATTTTTTCAATGTGAATTTTTTCAATTTTTGGATTTCTCAATTTTTCGATTTGCAGTTTTTCGATTTTCAATTTTTAGATTTTTCAATTCTGGAATTTTTAATATTTCCTTTTTTCAATTTCTATTTTTTCAATTTTTCGTTTCTTCAATTTTTCAAGTTTTAATTTTTTTTGTTTTCTTCAGTTTTTTGACAATTCGAGTTTTTATTTTTGAATTTTTCAATCTTTCGATTTTACAAATATTGGATATTTAAATTTTCAAATATGTAATAATAATTAAAAGTTTTTTAAAAAAATTCACTTTTTTAATTTTAGATTTTTTCGTTATTCCATTTTTCCAATTTTTCGAATTTTTCAATTTTTCGTTGTTTCAATGGCACAGTTTTTCGACTTCACAATTTTGATGATTTCATAAATTTTTGATTTTACAATTTTTGCTTTTTCCAATTTATCGCTTCCGCAATTTTTTTCCAATTTTTGTAATCATTAATTTTTAAAATTTTTAAGTTTCCCAATTGTGACTGCCATTTTTCGTTTCTTCGATTGTTTTGATTCCTCAATTTTTAATTTATCCATTTTCCAATTTCCTGATTTTTCAATTTTCCGATTCAAAATATCGAAAATTTGCAAGATTGTAAAACTAAAAAATCAAAAAATTCAAGAAACGAAAAATTAAAAAAACGAAAGAACGAAATATACATCGAAAATCGAAATATTGAAAATCAAAGACAATTTTAGCGATTCTATAATTTTTGAATTCAAATTTTTAATTTTTCCAATTTATCGATTTCGCGTTTTTTTTCAATTTTCTATCCATTAATTTTCTTCAGTTTTTAAGTTTCTCGAATTTTACTTTTCTATTTTTCGTTTCTTCGATTTGCAATTCTTGGAATTTCCACTTTTTCGTCTTTTCAGTTTTTCGATTGTGTTAGTTGCTCGATTTTTAATTTTTTCAATTTCCAATTTTTCAATTTTTCAAATTTCCTATTCAAAAAATCGAAAATTTGCAAAACTGTAAAACTGAAAAATCAAAAATGAAAAACAAAAGTCTAAAATAAAAACCTTGAAAATTCTAAAAATTCGAAAAAAAACATGAAAAATTGCAGAAACGAAAAATTCAAAAACCGAAATATCGAAAATCAAAGACAATTTTGACAATTCTATAATTTTTTTAATTTACAATTTTTGATTTTTCCAATTTTTCTATTCATCAATTTTTCTAATTTTTAGGTTTCTCGATTTTTACTTTTCCATTTTTCGTTTCTTCAATTTTTCGATTTGCTATTCTTCAATTTTCCACTCTTGATTTTGCAATTTTTCCTTTTTTCAGTTTTTCGATTGTTTTAGTTGTTCGATTTTTAATTTTTTCATTTTCCAATTCCTCAATTTTTCAACTCTCCTATTCAAAAAACCGAAAATTTGCAAAATTGTAAAACTGAAAAATCAAAAATGAAAAACAAAAGTCTAAAATAAAAACTTTGAAAATTCTAAAAATTCGAAATCAAAAACTTGATAAATTGCAGAAACGAAAAATTCAAAAATCGAAATATTGAAAATCAAAGACAATTTTGACAATTCTATAATTTTTTTAATTTACAATTTTTGATTTTTCCAATTTATCGTTTTCGCGTTTTATTTCCAATGTTTCTATTCATTAATTTTTCAAATTTTTAGGTTTCTCGATTTTTACTTTTCCATTTTTCGTTTCTTCAATTTTTCGATTTGCTGTTCTTCAATTTTCCACTTTTTTGATTTTGCAGTTTTTCCTTTTTTCAGTTTTTCG